AAAGGTAAGCTAACGGGAGGAATCACAGTACCTTACACATCAACACACTTCAGGGGGAAAAAGAAAGGGGAGAAATCACAAGCCAGCAAGAGAAAAAGAACACCTCTTCTAGTCTACACACCACCCAACACAGGACGTTTTATGGGTTGGGTGTTCAGGCACACTTCTTGCTGGGTCCTGTTGGGTACTGATAGTCCAACAGGGATTTGGAAAAAGACCAGAGTATTCCCAAGACAAAAGGAAAATACAGAGCCTCTGAGATGGAAAATGCCCTGGAGAAACAGAGCAACTACCCCCCCCCCCTTCATCCCCAGACCTGTACAAAAGGGACAGACACCTCTGAGAAGTCACTGTGGAACGATGCGCCACCTGTATTTGCTCTTGGCACTTTTCTAATGAGCAGTCAACTCGTTCGTGTTAACAGGCAGTATCTACCCGTGGGCATGCAATTAAAATATAAACTGCTTTGAACACCATGTGAGGGACCAGCAGAAACCAGTCGGAGCCTGGAGAGAGGAAGAGCTCTTTAGAGGTTGGAAGGCTGTCCTGGGAAACGTGTAACTTTGCAAAACAGTGGTGGGCAATTCCACAGACAGTGTTTAGCTCTGGTGCCCACGTTGCATGAACTGCCTCTGCCACTTTCTACAAAGTTTCATCCACTGCATCTGGAAAGTTCTTCTCCCATCCAGAACTCACACCCCATAACCTATGCTGAAATGGCCTTCTTGGGTCTGGCTACAACGGTAACCCATCACCACGTGGAGTTAAAAAAAAACCATAAGCAACAAAATACAAGAAGTTTCACTCTGCATGACTTCAGCATAATTGCTCAGCAGGTTCCTGCAAATTTAGCATTTGTTTGCTGTTGTGATTGCTATTTTAAGTCTTTTCCCAAGAAAAGGTGAAAAGAGGACACTGGAAAATACATGGCCTCTGGGTGCCGGGTGAGCCACAGCTCGTGTCCTCTCCGGCTGGTCTGCTGGCCCGCGCTGGGCTGGGTGTGCTTATCGCAGCCCCTTTTGTACGTGCCATTGGTGCATCTCTGGCTGGAACAGAAAAGGCGGAGGAGGAACCCAAACGTGGGGAGTTCAGGCTTCAGGTTGGGTAAATACAGAAAATAAAACTGTGTTTGCGCTGGGGTCTTGATGTCACTCATGGGAACGAGCCTGAGTGCTCTCCCTTCCACTGATGCCTTGACAGTGGGGCCACAAAGTGCTTTGCACATCCATCACCCGTGTCGTTGCCCCCTTTCCCCCTCTCCTCCGTTCTTGCTGCCAAGGAAGCTGCACCAATGGTTTGCTCTAACGACTCGGCGGTCTGTACGGTCGCTCAGTTCCAGAGGCTGAGTGGTTTAAACGTTGTACGAAACAGAGGGTCTTAAAGACAACGCTGGGCAAACTGAACAAACCCAGAAACTCACCTCCAGAAACTACAAAGCAAGGAAAATGCTAAACAGAAAACAAACAAAAAAAAATTGACAAAAATAAGAATGAAACAGTGGGCTCAAATTAAAATGCAGTAACGCATGTTAAACAGATATTCTGTTTTAAACCAAACATTGCAACGACGACAAAAACAAGGTACCAGCCTAGCTTTTAATCCTGAAAAAAACACAAAACAAAGAGGCCCGTTCAGGATAGAGTTCACCAGGTGAAAAAACCAAACTGTGATTGGACCAATCTGTTCACGTGAAGTAGAGCAGAAGACAAACCACAGAAATCCTGGGAGATGGATGAAGCAGGAGCTACAAACCGAATGCAGGCGGAATATTGTAATAAAGCACTTGGAGTCAGTTGCAAGACAGATGATATCCAGACGCCTCTGAAATAATGAGCATATTATTAAAACAGATCCCCGTGACACCGCAGGGCTTCACCATCTGTCAACCACAAAAAATCAGCGGCTCACGCAGCAGTCTATTGCACGTGTAAGGATGAAGGTATCTCTTCGGACCCTCCAAGCTGGCTGACACCCTAAATAAGCAACCAGTTTCTTAAGCCTAGGAAATTACATTTTGCAACTGGTTGCAATAAATTGAACCTTTCGTGGAGCTCAGTTATGGAGAGGCTGGAATGGCAGAGGAGAGCAGAAGAACTGGTGCAGATAAACCGCAGGGACAGGAGCACACAAACCACGAGTGCACGTTGTATTTGCACAGGAAAAAGGCCAGAGGTGGAGGAGCAGATACAACACCAGACAGTATGCAATGGGCTGGAAGAAGGCCCAGGGGAAGACACATGCTCTGTCCTTCATGGGGGACTGACAGGGGACAGAAGCAAAACAGCAAGCACAGCACCTCGCCGGTGAAAGGACAGAACAACCACTATGACTCTTCTCCAGCCTCAGCCCCAGGATGGCTTTATCACCTCTGTGGGAGGTGGACAAGGAGACTGGGAATGTGAACATTGTGACCAAGGAAATGCAAGTCATGGTGCCCTCTGCTAACACCCCAGAGATCTACTTTGATTGATGCAAGCAGAGAAAACGTTGATTTTTCAGAACATGGATCATTGCCAGAGATGCCCGTTGTTACCAAAATTCATTTTCATACGTGATGAAAATAAAATCAAATTCTAAAACTGAAATGTATTCCTTAGGAGAAAATAAAAATATAAACTGATAGGGCAGGCCCACCTGTGTAGCAGGCCTTTTGTAGCTCAGCCCCAGTTTTCCCCAGCCCCTGCTCACCACCTGCTCAGGGGTACCCAAGCTCTACAGGCATTTGCTTTTTGCAGTGTTATTTCCATATGCCAAAATTCCCATTTCCAAACATCCCCTGCACTTTTTCATTCTCGACATGTCCAGCTCTGAATGGCCTCAGAGGCTTGATCTGACAGGTCTTGCCATCAACTCGGCATCTGCTCCATCTTCAGGAGCACTGTGTAGCTTAAGACTGTAAGGAATGAAGGAACGGGGCACCTCTGGCTGTCAGCCTGGGTCCCCATCATCAGCCCTTCTGTGTTGGATGGAGATATCTAAGAGACAGGTGCTGCAAACCTAAAAGCTGCAGCTGCTAAGCCTCTTTGGAGTTCACTATGGACGTATTTATACAATTTTCATTTATTAAACGAATCGCTTGGGCGTGCATTCATTAAAAATCTTTTGGCTCATCGGCCACCAGTCATCCACACAACCCATTTCTCTCTCACAAAACATCTAATTCCACCCTTGCCTTCTCCTCTACGTCACCACTGATTTGGTCGTCAACCTACTGACCTTAACACATTCTTTTTCTAAACTGAAGTCCTGTGAACTTTCGGAGTGGCCTTGGAAGCACCTCTCTGGCACGGAAGAAGATAACGAGAAGACACGCGAGGGTCGTTAGATGCACGACGTTACAGCAGTTAGGGGATGTGGAAGCGATTGACTGCACTTCCAAATGTGCTCATTTGTGAGCTTAATTATCTGCCTGTACAAACGTGGCAGCAGGTGGGGACCTGGGCAGATACAATTTGAGGCAAAATAAGCAGAAATGCACAATTTTGTACTCACTTCCAATTGTGGTCACAAAACTGGCCCTGTGATATTGAAAACCAGGTGAAAGCCTGGTGAAAAATCATGGAATAAGGTTATTTTAAGGTGTTAAATCTTAGCTCCATTAAAGTGGGCTTTTTTCTGATTTATAAGAAATCTTCATATTCACTATGGTTTTGATTAAAAAAGAAGAAAATAAGCATCATTATCTTGTGTTTTAAAAATAACAGTATGAGGATATTCAAAGAACAAGAGCAAACATCCTCATTTGACTTCTTTTCAAGACTAGACAGGAAATCATTGTAAGAAAAGGATTGTATTCCAAACCAACAAACAGACATGGCATAAATAGAAGCTGATTAAAGCAGTAATTGCAAAATAAAACGGTAAGAAGAATAAAATAGTCAAATTAATGATATTCTTTTCCTTCACATATAATGAACTGGCTCCATTTGGCCTGTTGTCTTTGATGCAGTGGATTAAACTTCCACTAACAAGGGTCCCAAGAGACTGACGCTGAAGAAACAAACAGGGATCCTGCCATATTTCAGATACTCTGGAATAAAATTGAACAGGAAATTTCTTTTTCTGTGCTTGATCTTCTCTAGTCTTTGGAGGTCTCCCCTGCAAAAGGGAGCTGGAAAACATTAGCAGCTCTCAGTGAAACGCACAATCAAAGTTTTTGAAGATGGAAGTCCTGAAGTTAAAATCTAGAAGAGTGAAATGACCCTGTAAGAACATACTTTTAAGTAAATCCATTCAAGGCAGGCATATCTCAAACCCAGGCCCATAATCCCAAGCAGGCAGAACTCTGCACTGACCTCAGCAACATCCAGACAAATATTTCCACCTATATATCATTTTTTCTCTTTGGTTTAGATCAGTGTATATGAAAAGGTGGGTCCCAAGGCAACGTTTTCTAAGGATTCTGGTATCACAGAACCTGTGCACATGCCCACATCGGTGCAGAAAAAAAAACAGTGCATCTGAAAATGCAAATTGATGTTTCTAGCCCCAACCCAGTGACTGTTCACAGACATGATTTTATTCAACCCAGCACTCTTTCAAATAGTAAGGAACAGCATTCGAGCATGTTTTTCAGTCTGATATTTAGGAGGATGCCTTTACACTTAAATTCTTGAAGCAGAGATCATTAAAGAACAGTTAATACATTATGCGCACACATGCTTCTCGTAATTAAAAATCCAAAGTGAAATGTTAACACTTCACCTGGTGAAATCTATCCCAGGACAGTTTAAAAAAATCCTTCTAAAATAGTGTTATTTATAGTGAGGCAAAAGATGAGGCATTACAAAGGGGAAAAAAAAAACCTAAAAGAAATAATTAAATCCATGGTTAAGCAATCAGCACTCAAGTATTCAGTCAACCTAAAGCCCTGTCAGTAGTAGAGATGGTATAAAAGGGCTCACAGAGTATTATGGGATGCTCCACTTGAACAGACACATATTGACAGTGAAAACCAGAAACCAAACGATAAAATTCCCAAATAATAAAATAATGCTTACGCGGCTATGGAAATGTTAGCTGCAGACATGGGGCTGACTTCTGCCACTTCCTTGGCCTTTTGCAGGGCGAGCTTTTGATTGGTGGCTTCCTCCATCTCCTCCTCGTCCTGGTGCAGAAAACCAAGAGAAACCAGAGCATCCGTCATGTAACTGCAATAACCAGAGCTCCCCACGGCACGAGTCATATGTGACTGTCACCGTCGCGCTGCGAGAACAGTGGAAACTCATCAAAATAAGGCAGAAATTCATAACTTCTTGCAAGGACTCCTGGGTAGGACCTTGGTGTCAGCAACAGCTGGTTGGGATGAGAAGTGCAAAGTTTGGTCAAGTGCTCAATGCATTTTTACGAAGAACACATCTCCCTCACAAAGCTTTCTTACCTCTCTTGGGTCTCCTCTTATCACTTAGTGTTTGGGTAGGAGAGACTGGCAGGGCAAGGAGAGACCTGACCACAAGCATGACACTTCTGGGGTGAAGTGAGTCCCATTTAGCTCAGTCTTGCATGTGTGAAAACACCCTAAAGCCTGTGTCCTACTGAATCATGTGGATTTTTAACCTCTATTGGCATTGCCAGTTCCCACAGAGTAAAACTGTGATTTATTTCTTCCTACCAGGTGTAATGGCAAGAGAAATACTGCTCAAATTCAAACTACAGGATCTTAAGGAATGAGTTGAAGGCAAAAGGCAAAGAAACAGCCTGGTTCACCTTCAATGGTCATCAAACTTCCTTTGAACTTTCTAGCTGGTCAAATTAGGTAGTAAAATCATGGCAGGATAAACACAGACCCTCTGATGGCAATGTCATCAGAGACCCTCTGTCATGGCAATGTCAGCATCACACATACTCAAGGAGCAACCACACATCAAGACGAGAGCAGTCACAGGCTCCTCTGTCAAACTTTATGAAAAGGCACGCATCTACCTCTGCTCTTCAAAGGTAATGCTGTGAAAGAGTTATGCTTAAAATAATGAAAGCAGACAGTAAGACATCCAGCTTTGAAATAAGAAGTCATATAGATTTATCCATCCTGAATACCATATGCATAAAAAATTCCTTGCTCTGACTTTGGTGTTATTCCCTTAAACGGAACTCATTTTGAAACTATTTTCCTTTTCTCTTTATGAAGAAAAAAGAAATGATAGGAAATTAATAAAAAAAAAAATCTACTACCAATAAAATTTCCTTTTTTTTTTTTTTCTTTCCAAATATTAGAAAATCTGTAACAAGCAAATTTCTACTGTAGTGAGTGAAGAACCTGTGACAGGCCATGGAAAAAAGCTGGGCGGAACAATTATGGCAAGTTGATATTTCTCAACTGCCAACTTGCGGTAAGTTTATCAATGAGTCAGAAGCTTATTGTAAATCAAGGGTATCTGCAGAACATGAATCTTTTGAGGAACAAGGCCCCCAGTAAGAAGGCTTTTAAGGCTCTCCTTTCATTCCACAGGTATCTTCAAGTTGTTTCTTCTCTTGAGGACTCTCTAGCAGTGTTAAAATCACATACATTCAAAGGCTCTTGATTTTCCTTTCTGTGCCCCTAAAGCACCAGGTGCAGTTTTTACCATCTCTTTAAAACTTCTAGCTTCATCTCCATTCTCCCCTGTGCCTCGGTTATTCTGCTGGATCCAGTATATCCGCAAAAAATACTCATTGTTGTTACAAATGCAGCTGTCCCTACCTCAGAACAAGCACACTCTTTAGCAGATGACTGCTTAATAATGTTCCTGTAGCTCCTTCCATGCAGAGATTGCACATTGCCACAAAAAATAATTAAGTTTTTGCCCGATTCTTCCACTGCAGAGTCTCACTGGGGCAAAGGACCATCTTGTTCTGCTTGAAGCACACAGGGGTATGACGTGGGTGGCTGAAGGCAGCTCTGAGCTGTGACAGCAACATCCATCCACCCATCCCACCTCCCACCAACAGCCCCGCTCAGGCAGCTCCACTGCCACCGTCTCGTTGTATAGAGGGGCAAGGGCAGATAAAGGCCCTGCCTGTATGACATCTCTATTCTGTATTTTGTGTTTTCTAAAGCTCTAAATCTTCATTTAAACCACAGAATTTATCACACAGTAAATCCCATCTTCGGTGCTACCCATAACAATGTGCATCGTTAACACTGACTGTTCTTTATTAAGTTCAACCCAATTAAGCCACTGGGAAGGAGGAGGAGTCTTCCTGTTAGACTCTGGCTCTTGCTGCTCAGTTCAGTCCATTATTTCTGAGGATTTCTCAACTTTTAAAATGTATTTTTATATAAAATTCATATATATTTTTATATATATTTATATTCATATAAATTTATATTTAAATTTATATTCATCTATATTTTTATATAAAATTCACACATCCCTCCTATCCCACGTTACATGTTTTTATATTGCTTTCTCAGGGATTTCTGGCAGCACTCAGTGATCAGAGAACACTCTTTGTGCTTTAAGACCTTTAGGAAAATAAAGGGTCACTCGTGGCAGCCTTACATGCCAGTTTAACGAGGATGAAGAACAAACTGCTGGGTGCCACTGGAGACACTGTAGAATGGCCAGCGGAGAGAAGATTTTAAAAGCAGATTTGGGGGAGCAATTTTAGATTCTACTCTGAATAAGTGAAAAGGAAGAAAAATCTGCCAAAATATGGAAAGAACTAAGAGGGTAGACAAGCAGATTCAGGACAGTTCTGAGAAACCACTAGAAATTAAGTTGGCAGAGTTTAAGTCAGTGGTAAGGGAGAGCCAGCGCTGGAAGAGGAGGAGAGAGACCTCGGGAGGGAGAGGTGGAGGCTGGAGAACAGATTCTTCATCTATTCAAAGCAAAGAAGGTGATTCTTTTTATTTCCGCCTCCCTCCAAATGAGTCATTCCATAGCACTGGTGAGTTTTGTAACAGACATCGGATGATCAAGCTTAAATTAAATATAGTTACAATTCCGATAGCTTCTGTTACAGGTCACAAAGCCCAGCTAAGGCTACCGAGAAATGTTCAAATGCCATGATAAAAGAAGTCCAAAGTAGCATCCAGAAGTGGAAATGTTGCTTGAAATGTTTCAGTCTGAAGGTTAGCTGGAAAGCTTTTTGCCTTTCCGAGACAGAGGCAGTTGCAAACTGCTTATGGTTTTCCCACACTCTATGCAGCACCGATCTCGATTAGTTTTACAGCGTAAATATCAAGAAAGTCCCCTGAGATCAACTGACTCCTGAGTAACTTAATTATATCTCTGGGCCATTTTCGGTTTTGCATGATCGTATTTACTTAGCAATAAATCCCTCATTCTCCAGGTATGCTATATAATTGGATTACTTTACTTTTTTCTTCTTCTTTTGAAAGCCCTACCAATTTTGGAGGATCAGAAATAAAATTAAGGCAAAAAAAGAGTTTCTCAAGAAGCTTTACGATTTGGCAATGCTGTTGAATCCATCAATATTTAATTATACTTTATAAACATCAACAAAGTCAGGTTTCTAACCGTCCCAGGCAGCTGCTGAAATATTCACAAGAAAGCACTGAAAGGATTAAGAAAGAAGTAGGATGAGCTTCATTATCCAAGAACTGTGCTGGGCCCGATCCTCTCTCTCAACACACGCAAGGGATGCCCGTAAGTCTCCTGAACAGGCTGGGAGGATGCACGCCTCCGGGCTGGAGATTTCAGTGAGCTGCTGCAAGGGAAAAACTTCCCAGGAAAAAAAAAAAAACAACACTGAGTCATTAAACACAGCCCTGAGCTGCGTTGTAAGAGAAGAGAGATGCAGAACATGGTCTCAGAGACGTAAGAACATTTATTATACACCTGAGGGCCACCAGCCTTCTTGCAGAGTCCGTGTTGGATATCAGCGGTCAGGAAACGAGGCGCCAGTCGAAGCTGGAAGCTAAAGCCAGTCACGCAGCTCCACAGCAGAAAAGGAGAGCTGGCAAAGACAAGCTCAGCTCCAAGAGAGGTGTGGATTTTAACTGGGAAGGACTGGCTGCTTAGGTCTTCAGCAGTTGGAGTGGGGTAGGAAACTCCTAGAAATCTCTGTGTCCCTGAACCACAGTTTTGCATCGCGGAGCCACGAACTATTGCACTTTTCTACAACTCTAAAAGACAGCTTCCTTGCCAGCTGCTGCATAAGCACACGGTTGGTGATCCTCTTACCCCATAGGGGTTATATAAGCTAAAGCTTGAAAAACAGCACTGCTCAGGTGGATACGGTGCTTTTGCCACCAGCGGGTCGCTGTGACTTACGGCGCTGGCAGCGGCGCAGCAACGGGGTGTGCGTGTTTTCATCCGCCCGGCGAGAACAAGCTAGGAAAGTGCAAACAAAATCCAAAGCTGCCTCGTAAATACAAGTGAGCATGCTACAATGAGAAATCAAAAGTATGTAATAACTCGAAGACAAACTGCAGCACTTGGGATGCTTCCTGTGCAATATTGAGGCTGGAAGTTTTTCTCTATAGGGAATGCTCCTATATAAATCTGAGCATGCAGTAAAGTTCCATTGGTGTCATTCCATTCTCTCACCAGGACCTGGCTTTCTGTCTGCGCTTGGGCTGGTGCCTCAGATTTCTCCTGCACCTGGTGAGAGGCAGGAAGATCATAACATCTTCACTGAACATTCACAATAGCCTCTTCAAGTTGTTTTTCAGGGAGTTGACTGGAGAACATTAATTCTTTAATTCATCCCGAAACTCAGCAAGGTACGAAACACCGGTGTGAGACAGCAAAAGCAGCAATACAACACCTGCGTGTCCCCATGCCTAAGCTTCAAGTCAGCCAAAATCCATTAATCGCTTTGCCTCTGCTCTTGAAAACAGCAAACGCTACGAACGCCGGTGCACCTCCGTGCAGCAGCGAGAGGAGCAGTGCCCGCTGCCCACTCCGTGACAAAGGAAACTAAGGAACATGAAACAGTTTGCAGAAACAAGCCTGGAATGAAACAAACCTGAACAAGAATAAACCTCCAGGTGTCTAACAGGGCTCTGTGCAACACAAACTGGTAAAGAGATATCCCATGAACAGGCTCCAGAGGAAATCTCAGGGAGTCTGGAAGGGTCGGGAGTATGTGCTCTAGATCCAGCAGCTGTGGTCCAAGTTCAACAGAAATCTCGCACGTACCTTGGTCAGCTCTTGGGCGTTTGCCAGATTGTCAACAGCAATAGCCAAGAAGACATTCAGGAGCGTATCTTTTGGGGAGCAGCTAAGGAAAAAAAAAATCTTTGCACAGCAAACACAGTGAGCAGTTTCCCTTCTGCTGCTACTACCCTTCCTTTCCCACCTGCAGTCATCAGTGTTATGGCTTGACCCCTTGCACCGCTGCTTTGTCTTCGTTTCTAACTCACCCACTTCTGCTGGGAGCAGCTCTGCAGCACAGCAGGTGCTGGACACCCATCTGTCTTCCCCAGCACGTATCACTGGTGGGGATACACACACGTGTTGGGCTTTACAGCACTATAGGTGCAACTGATGCAGGACTACATGGTGGTTCTAGGGACAAAACAGCCCCCATTTTTTCATTCCACATCTACACTCCTGCCCCCCACAGAGCACTTCACCTTCATATTTCCCTCTTCTTAAAAGGAAAACCAGCAGAGCTCCTGGAAATCGGTCACTTTAAAGCCAACATTTGCATAATGTAAACATAAACCTGTATAAAGGCATCGGGTACCATGAAAAAGTTAAGCTTAGGTCACTGCTGCATTACATACTGGGGGAAGGAAACCATCATGACTTATCACACCGAAGTTGATATGACAATTAGACCACCACGGACATCCTCTATCGAACGCTGCAGCGTCACGCAGAGCACGGCTCCAGAAGAGCCTGTTAACAGGACACCCAGCCTGAGATAACGAGCTCTGCTGGGAAACAGGCCGTTAGTCCAGGCCAAACCACACACAGGCCAGCTAAACAACCGCCGGTGCCCACGCTAGCCTGGGTCTCTCTGCAGAGCACTGCATTATATCACTAAGACATAACATTTCCCTACGATTATTTATTCGTATTTTATTTTCATTTTTTCCACTTAATGATTTCAGCTATTACTTGTCCCTTCATATATTTCATGATTGTTTTTCCAGCTATGTGCCTGCAAAACAGCCCCAAACCAGTTGTAAATCAGATACCTTTGCATACCAAAGGAGAGCAAGCAAAGCAAAACCAAGTCTAAACTACTCTCCAAGAAGGAAACCCATCACCCGGTGACAGCAGAGTCACTCACTCCACACCTGTGTAAAGCTACGATTGCTCCTCTAAATATGAACGTACAGGAGAATCAAGTCGATCTCATGAGTCTTTACTCTCTGGAGGTTCACAAAGACTTTAGCAGCAACGCGCTGCCACTGTGTTTGTGTCGCACTGTCCTCATCAGGGCCAAGTATGAGCCTGGGACCCAACGCAGGTCCCCATAAGCTGAGTGAAACGATCGCAGGAGTTTTAGGCAGCTGATCAACCCAACAGAAAATAACTGGACGTGTCCTCTGCTTTGGTCTGTGGGTTGGAAGCAACGCCCAAAGGAACGCTGCAGCGAGGGCGATGCTCTGGGTGCAACCACTCAAGCAAGGAGAGGGAAGGTGAGGTGTGAGCTCCCTGAGTGCTGGCAAACCCGCAATGAGATTTTGGGAAACCCCAGCCTCGGTGCTCCTCTGATTGCTTTCTTTTTCTCAGAAGGAGGCCTGGAGGGAGCATCTGAGGTTTCTCTATAGAGCCAGGAGCAATGCAAGGCTGATTCATCAGCTGCGCTCGTCTCTGCCGAACAGGAGTGAGCCCAGAAATCCTCGTGCTCCAGCAGCCCTCCGGCAGCACGCTGCTGTGGAGCCGTCGGACCACATCAGCACAGCTTCAGGAGACTTCCCAGGGCAGCCAGGGACCAAAGTTGCCCCAAATAATCAGCTCAAGGCCTCTTTGCTTTCTCTCTCAAGAGCTTTCACCAAACACAAGCCAAGACTTCAGAACTAGACGTTCACGTCTGTAATTCCCGTTGAGACGAGTGTCTCCAGAGCCGGAATGCCTGTCAAAACCGGAGCCTCTGCTTGTGATAGCAGAAAGCAGGAGTTGTATTTAACCTCTTCGGATGCATCTGCATCCAGACTACTGAGCCCTGCAGAGGACGGGATGCAGAACCCTGGGATTTCTCCAGGCAAAGGCCAGGTCATCCATCAGGTTTTCTCCATGTCATGTAACATGGGATGGAGGTTTTTGTCATGTGAAGATGATTCCTGCAGGACAGACAGAGGTTTGAAATGTGATGCCCATGAATTGCTTCTTTATTCCAGCAGGAGAGTGAGGAGGTGCGAGGCGGGAGCACCTCAATCCCACTAAGCCCAGCAGACAAAGAACGCGAAAAAGGGAAAGATGATGCTGAAACAATCACCTCCCTCCCACACTGAAGTTGGAGCTCAAACAACTTTTCACCTGCAAAGATACTAATTTCTCCATCTCCTTGTAACCGAGGGTTGGCAGAGGAGGGTGTCGTTACAGACTGGGAGGTTGAGGTGCCGCTGCCCACGGCACTGCCAGGGTGCCGGCTGGTGCCAGCTTTTTGGGTTTCTTCCTCTGGGGTGCTTCCAAAACGTTGGAAATGCTTCTAAGCCTCCTGCTCTGGCAATAAACGTCTCGGTAATAAAACCGTCTTCCTACCCCTGCCTCCCACACATACATGCTGAAAATGTCTCGTGTAACATAATCAACCACTGGAAATATAATTAATTTTTTTTTTAGTGGATCAGGCTGTTTTGATCAATCTCTGAGCTGACATGATCTGGCAGACTTGGGTGTTTCTGCCCCCAAAAAAGGTCCCTCAGCCTTTTTTGCAGAGCCCAGGGACTCCCAAATACCACCCAAACTCCAGGCTCTGCTCCAGGCTGTATAACCTGGGCAGACCCACGGATCTCTCTGGCCACCTGAGCCGGAGGCTGGTGCCAAGAACAGCTCTCCCACACTTCAGCTAAGGGCATGGGGAAGGGCAGCACACTCCAGGCACTCGCTGCTTTTCATTTCAGGCTCCTCTGCAGTTTTTCTTGTTGTTTTTTTTTTTTTTTTCTTTTTTTTACCTCAACAGATGCATCAATTTATCAATTAACGGGATAACAATAAATACAGGCATGGTGTAATTTCCTCGAAAATGGGCGAAATCCTGCTGTTACTCTAATCATACAACTTTCATTAAACCATTTCAGATGCGGAGGTCTGGATCCACACAGACTCTCCAGAACGGGGAACGTAACGCGAGAGACTTCCGACTTACAAACCCGAAGTTTCCGGATCCTTTCCTTGCAATAGTCCCTTGAAAACATAAATGGATTCCAAGAAACAATGGAGCTGCAGCAAGAAACAGCAGAAGATGGCACCCAACCACCATTCTTCTTTGTGAAATGGAAAAGTTACAATGTCCCAAGCAGCTTTGGAAGAGGAAAGGAGTCTCTCGTGTTTAAAAAGAGCAGGTTTCACAAGCTGACCCAAAATCGCCAATGCCGGTTCTCTAACAAGATTTGATCCAGTCTGCCTAAACTCTTAAAAATGGACTCACCAAATGCCAATGTTCAAAAACTCAAAATAAAACCAGTCCCAGCAGAGGGACCAAAGTGCTGGTCAGCCTCCGGAGGGGGCTAAGACTGATTTCAATGGCAGGGACACAAGAAAATAAAACCAAAAAGTCTCAGGTAAGAAATTCAGCCCCAGTGAACATCTGTGTAGAGAGAGTTGGTGGCAAACCCACACTTGACAAATGAAAAAAAAACCCAACTGCATAAAAAAGCACATTTTTAAAGATTTTGGAGGGAGTTCTGCAAGGCAGAGGGGGGGGATCTTTGTGAAAGGGAGGGTGACTGTAACGTTCAAGTCCCACATCAGAGCTGAAAAGACAGTTCATGTGAATCTAATCTGTAATTAAGATGATGAACAACTCGGGCTGCTTTCTGTAGGGTGACCTGTTGGCGTTTGCTGGGCTGTGGGCTCTCCTTGGGAAGGTGATCCCACGGCTCAGACACGTTCCTCACCCTGTACACCCACCTGTCCTTAGTGTTGCTGGGCCACTGCAGCATCACTGACGTTGATGACAGTTTTACTTCCCACAAAAATGCAGGATTTCTTTTCTGGTAAACTAAACTTTATTTTCAGATGTTCCTGGTTATGTTTTGACAGTTACTGATAACTTAAGTCCCTGGTAAGTCACACAGTTCAGCTTTCTCCCCGGGATAAATGACTGCCTGCTGCTTGCTCTCAGCATCAAAACTGCAGCGAGTGAAAAGCAAAGGTAGCACTGACCCCACTGAAACACTGTTTGAAATACCAGTGCAAGCATTACTGGGCTTACTGCTGCAATTGCTACGGTAAACAGACAAGAAAAAGATTTAACCCCTCATCCTGCACCGCACACTCCAGCCTCGGTTCTCCCCTTCTGCCCATGGTGATAAAAGCAAACAGGTCCATGTGTGATGTAGGAAGGCTCTTAAAAGCTCTCTGTGAAAGCAGCTGATGCTCTCAGACTAAGTTCCTACAGAGCCAGGTCTCATTCTCCAACAGGGATGTGAACCTGTGTAGCAATTAAGAGGTTAGTAGATGTCCTTCAGGTTTATAACTGATCACTAGAGACTGGTGAAAGAAGTCTTCTAGGACATTGTAAAAGGGTTTCTGAGGGTTGTCACTCTGTCGGCCAGCTCTTCCCTCTCTCTGTGCTCACAGAAACCCACCTGCAGCAAACTCATCCCCACCTGAGGGATTCAGGGAGAATTACTGAATCACACCTGACATCCTCCTGGCTAAATGCAGAGAGTGCCCTGAGGAGCGCTCTGGCTGTGCTAAAGGTGTGCCACCAGCACGCAACTGTGGGCAAAGGGGACCAGAGAGGCACTGGAGGCAGTCCCAGGGAAGCAGCCAGGAAAGCCCTCTCCTGGATCTCCTCGGCAGCAGGAGAGTGGAAGGGAAAGCAAGACAGCTGCTCTCTGCCAGGATGATATCTGGGGAGAACACAGGTAAGGTTTTGACTGACCACTCTGCCGGGGCATGCAGAGGCAAATGCCAAAGTCATGGTGGTAGCATGAACATCTCCTGCCCCGTCCCTTCTAATGAAAATTAAAGGACAAGGGAGAAGTCTCCTCTGCATTGAAGGCACCAGAAGGGAACTTATATCCTGCTCCTCAAAAATGCTGGCTCTGAGCTGCTCTAAGGTTGAAAGTCTCTCTCTCAGCTCTGCTGTCACACCTGATTATAGCTTAATCTCATTTTCAAATGCCAAGCCCTGAGGATTTAGACATCTCCCTCCCTCCCAGCTCTCCATTGACCCAATTTTCCAAAGCCTTGTGTTTCCAGAGGGGGGCATGTTGCCCGCCACGAGGCAGATGTCTGAGCAGAGCTGCCGAGCCAGCCCAGGCATCGCGGCTGCTCTGGCTCTGACGGCGCACGCTAATGGGATAAATCCCGCAGGGACACGCTTGTGCGACAAGCACAGCGCGCACGCTGCCTGCTCTGCTGTTCCTTGTCTGCATTCCTTGTCCAGTGGGGAGGTTTCAGGCAAAGCAAAGGGACACAGCCCTGCTGAGCAGTCCATGGGTGCTGATGTCCCATCTCTTCTCGTCTTGACCCCCAGCCAACGGGGTCTGTGTCTATAACAACTCTAAGTCTTTAGCACAAGCACTGCCCCCACATACCCTTCCCTTTCTCCTAAAGGTACCCAGCCGCTGCTGCCAGCCCGAACAAGACTCCTAGGAGAAGAAAAATGCTGGGACTGGAACTAGCAAGAGGGTTTGCACGGCTGGGAAACCCTCCAGAGAGCTCTCAAGCAGAGCAGCAACGCTCAGCATTATTATCCCTGTTTTACAGAACAAACAAACCAGCCGGGCTGCCTCACATATGCAACATCTTTTACGTTTCCTTTTTTAAGGATGCTCTGTTTGACACCATACAGCCTGTCGCTGCAGCCACCAACCATTTTGTACCTAGTTAATGTGATCAATGCTACGCACCATCAGCCCATCAGCAGCCTCCATCACGAAGCAGGGACAGAGCCACCGCAGCTACTGCGCTCCGCTGGCTCTCCTAATCGCACCCAGCCATTAGATCGGAGAATCTCTTTGCTCGTTTCTGTATAAAATACAGCCTCCCTTTCCAAATCCTGGCTCCATGAGACTGCTACGTTCTTGCCTCCTCAGACTTCTCTGGGGACACAACATATGTCAGATCACTGCTGGGTCCCCAGCAGACACCCTAGGACATTCCAGGGGAACACAAGCTTCCAGTTTCCTATTTCCTCAAGAGATTTTAGTGACAAAGCAGAACAAAACATCTTCAGAGACTTAATGTGTCATTTCTTGGAATATGATTGAATATTCCCAGAGCCTGAAACCCAAGATCTGGACTTAAGTTTCAAGTATTATGTGGACACAAGACAATTTCAAGCATTTGGAGTAGCACAGCTGGTTAAGCTGTCATGCAGACAAAGGCACCGAGAGACTGGACCCTGATCTAAGCACTAAACCAATTTCATCCCTTTCTTCCCTTGACCTGGTGCAAACTATCTGTGAAGATATTCAAGGTAGAGAGATCCTGCTCTGGCTTCACTTCAGTCATTTTTCTCACAACACAGATTAACTTATAACGGGACATTCTCAATCTAAAACATAATACCGAAAATTAATTAAGACCATGCCCACATTGCCATCAGAAAAGTGAAACCAACACGGACAACTTCTCTATGCCTCCTATCCTGGGTGCTGTAAGGAGCAAAGTTAGAGGAATGATCTGGTTTTAAAAAGCACAAGCAGGAGTGTGAGAGTTTAAAGGCAACTAGTTTTTTTTCTAGTACTCCAGGAAGGGTGTGTGGCACACCGTGCCACCGACACAAGGCGATGTGCAAGGATACAGTTACCAAACAACGTCAGGACGATGAAGTAAACGGAGGAGAACATCCCCGAGCGGACGCCACCCTGCGACTGTATCCCGTGGTACATCACCGCGTTCCAGTCTTCTCCTGTCAGGATCTGCACAGCGAAATTTGAGAGAGAAGAAGAAAGCGTGACTCAACAAAGAGTTGACGTAGGTCAAAGAGTCAAAGAGTCAAAGACACCGTAGCCCAAGACTGGGGACCTAGCTGGGTTGATGAAATCCAGGATTGGTCTCTGCGGGGAGAAACATATGAGCCAGCTAGAGTGGCAGACTGCAGTGTTGAACATCAACCCCCCAGCCCTGGGCTGGATGCAGCTTTCTCCTCCAGCGTGGGCTGAGGAGGAACAACGACCACTGGTGAGGAAGGACCATTGCACCCGTTCCTGTCCTGTCCTGGTTACTGCCTGCTGCCCACCTCTGGCCGTAGGCTCGCATGCAGAGGCACTAAAAGCCACGTTCCAACACTTCACCCCCAGCACAATTTCTCCCCCCTCTCCATTTTTAAGTCGTGCAGAGGTACCAGTTTCAACAGCTCCACGCACGGCATTCCCCGCAGACCTCAGGAAAACTGGACTCCTAATCCCAGCACCCCGAGCGGGATCTCTGCCAGCATCAACGCCTTTGATTTGCCTCACACAGAAAGGGTTTGCTCAGCTCCCCCCAAACCAAACACGCTCTACCCACCCTGAGTGACCATGTAACAGGAGGAGAAGCTCTTGCAACTCCCTTCCACTATCCCTGTACCCCTCAGGACTGCGGACAGCTTTGCTGCAGCTGGTGCATCGGTGAACATCACTTCAGGCAGTGGGTAGCACAACTATGGCAAGATTTGCCAAGGGGCTGCACCACAATAGGGCCTTCAACCACAAACCACAAAAAAAAAACCCCAAATAATTAAACAGAAGCAATAACCAAATGTGTATGAGCGGGGACAGATGAGGGAGTTTCAAGGGGACTCTGTTCCTCCCACCTCCTCGTACAGAGGCCAGCAGAACCGCTGTCTGGCTCCGCAGAGCCGTCCTGGCTGCGGGCTCTGGATACTGACCTCAGGAGAATTAGCAAACTAATAATAATGAAAAAACTAATCATAATAAGTGAAAATACCTAAGACTCAAATAAGCCTTGTCATGCTAGACACTAATTTTGCACCAGTCTGGACTGCCTGCCATTCCCTGTTCTTCACCACCGACTGTAGCACAGCAACATTTTGGGCACATCAGCACGTCGTCTGCTGCCACGGCAGAGTCGAACAACAGTTACTTTTAGCATGTTAAAATACACCCGCTGGGATGTGGAGCTCAAATTCCTTCATAGGAAGTTGTCTTTGTGTTTAGTGGAAGAAAGAAAAAAAAAAAAACCCAAGAAAAGCCTTAATCATGATGTGTTTTGTAGTAATCAATTCTCGGGTACATACAGTATGCTCAAAACAATTGCAAATTCCACACTAGTCACCAGCTGCTGATGGAGAGAAAATTTCTTGCTGCAGGGCTGGTGCTGATGACAGCAATAGGCTAAGAGCAAGTACAGACACAAGGACATACTGTACATACACAAACTTGTTTCCCAAACGCAGATTCTGGTCTCAAATAATTCAGTGCAAGCCTAACCCACCCCACTGGAGTTACTCTGGATTTACACCAGAGAATACGAACCAGGGCACTGGGCTTTCAACTCTGGCACTCAATTTTGCAAAGCACTGTTCACAAACTTGCATTCACATCATTTCCATGAATTCACAACTGTTCCTGCTTTCTGCGAATAACCATAAAGTGATTTCTGGTCACACAAATGTTTATGGAAAGGGAAAGCAGTGGGAGAACTCCCATGCCCTGCAGAAGACCAGGAGTCACAAGTGTCACAAATCACAGGCTGCACGTAAACCAGTCCAGCAGGTTGGGGTCTGGGTTCAAAAATCCAACCAGATTATTTTTCAAGTGGAAAAAAAACTTAAAGAAAAAAAAAAATGGTTTATGGACCTTTTGCAGAGTGATACATGGTGTAAACTCACCAGCCTGCCTGTGCAGAGCTGAGAGTGCTCTCTGAGGCCCTGGAGAGGACAGACCCCTCAGGTTGGTGTCCTTCCCACTGTTGGTGCTGCCACCCATCACTTAAGCAATCAGGTAGCAGCCCTCAAGGAGCCTGGCACATGCAGTAAATAGACATCTTTCTGTTCTATAGAATCTCAGTTTATGGATGCTGTAAGAACTTTTATAAGAACAATGGCTTTAAACTGAAAGAGGGGAGATTTAGATTAGATATAAGGAAGAAAAGGTTGCCCAGAGAAGCTGTGCCTGCCCCATCCCTGGAAGTGTTCAAGGCCAGGTTGGATGAGGCTATGAGTAACCTGGTGTAGTGGAAGGTGTCCCTGCCCATGGCAAGGGTGTTGAAACTAGATGATCTTTAAGGTCTCTTCCAACCCAAACCATTCTGTGATTCTTGCTAGGAGAGGAAAGGACAGCATTGCAGGGTAGGGGTGCAAGCAATGAAGACTTTGGAGTAAGGTGAAGCCCAAACATTCTGGTTTTCCCCAGGCCCAGAACTGCTTTTGGCTGCCCCAAATGAACATTTTGTCCAGTGCAGCTCAGCATTTAATACTTAGGCTCGGATGAGGAGCCATCAGGTGACAGAACAAAAACAGTTTTCAAGAGCTGTTGCGAAATCTTAATGGACTAAGGAGCACATTAACAGTGGGAGACACTCAGCTGCTGGGGATCAGCACTGCACCACTTCAAAGGGCTGTCCTGAAAGTGAGATGCTTTCCTGAAGAAGGACCTGAGTAAATGCAAAGTCACATCAGCTCAGTGTCGTATCCCGCAGGCAGGGCAGCAAGGGCAGCCAGGGCACACGGACATCCAGCCGAGGCCAGCCTGGCTCCCCAAGCCCCGGCACGGGGCCAAATTTGGTCCCATCCTGCCACTCCTCATCCCCTCCAGCCGTCACCGGTGCTCTGCTGCTCAGCAGCCGCCAGCACGGAATTATTTACGTAGCAGCTCTCAGGGAGCAGGGCATGTACAGGTAACACAGGTCTTTCTGCTTTATAGGGTCTCTGCACTTATGGATGTTGCAACATGCTTCCAGCTCAATGATCTCTGGAATAGGGAGATGCACTAGTTATTTTTCACATGTATATACATATATATGAAATACATATGTAGTTTGTGTTTGTATTATGTAAATGTGTAGCTTGGCGTTCAGCTCACAAAGGCTTTCTTGGGAACCAGGAGCTGGAGAAAAATGTGTGACGCTCGTCAAAGGGAATTTAGGGACAGCAGGGCTCAGTTGCACCCAATGCTGAGTCCTGCCAGCTGCCAGGTGGACAAAATACATCTTGGGAGTCGCATGAGAGAGGACTGTGACCCAGTCCGGTCTGCGGAGACAGAACGGGCTACGGCAGGCTGATGCAAAGACTTTGTTTAAGACTGCTCCTTCAACAAAGGATCTCCCAAGGGATTAGGGATGAACAGGCTGTATCTGGCTTTATTGTAGTTGTTCAACACATCGAATGTGTTCACCAAATGATGCTGCCCTGCTCGTTGGAGCAGCAGCCGAGCGAGCCTGCTGGCCGGCCTGAGTATGGGAGACGAGGTTAGAGGAGGATCCAAAGCCCATATTGGAGTCACGGTGACACGATATTGGAAACTCAGGGGAGGAGGGGGCACGAACTGGGAGCAGAGGTTATTGAAATGCCTCTGCGAGGCTGCACTGAGCTAAGGCAGGGCTGATGGGTTTTGCTGGTTTTAATTCATAGCTCTGACGTTCTACACAAATGTCATAAACCCAACTGTGTTTTCCTTCATCCACAGCCACCATGTTACAGGGCTGCTTATCTCAGGAATAGAAAGGAAACAGTTCAGCTAAGTATTCTCAAGAGACAGCTATAGTCCCAAAGCAAAATAACATCAACATTTCCAGATGCTCATATCCGGAGCCTGACTCGGGTTCGGTTCCGGCTCTGTGGCAATACCTTTACGTTTCTGTGAGTCCTTTCTTTGATGAGCACTAAAATACTATGCAAATATTAATCTACCACGATTTGCAATATCCTGTGAGGTACATAC